AGGGTACCTTTTTGGGGGCTGGCTACTCTAACAGGGGAACTTTGAACAACAAAGACACGGCAACAGGGCACCACTGTGCTGCCTAGCAGCCAAAGCAGCGGCAGCATTGCATTCCCTTGCCCCGGTCTTCTTCCACGCTCTCCTTGTGGCTCCGGTCGCCCAGTGCCTCATGCTCCGTGAGGTCTTCGTCCATGACATTCTGCGTGCCCTCCTTTGCGCTTAAAGCATTCTTATTTGCTGGTGCAGATGCTCTTGTCTGAGACTAGGAGGGTATGTACGATGTCGACAGGGAGACAGGAAGACTTTGGACTTGTGATGCGCCTGGCCTGCCCCTGCTGCAGGCCTAAACCCTAAACCCTAAACCCTAAACCCTAGACCCTAAACCCTAAACCCTAAACCCTAAACCCTAAGCCCTAAACCCTAAGCCCTAAACCCTAAGCCCTAAACCCTAAACCCTAAACCCTAAACCCTAAAACCCTAAACCCTAAACCCTAAACCCGACAGCCCTGGCCTGGAGGTGCTGTTGCGCGTGCGCGCCCTCTTTGCTCCGGACTGCCCCAGCCTCACGTGCGAGACATAGAGACAAGAACACCCAGAGGATGCCACGCATCATAATTCCTTGGCTGACTTCTGAACCCCTCCTAAAAGTCGTTAACTAATTTGTAGTTTCTACAAAAAAGCCCCAAAAGGTTAAAGTCCTAAAAGTCGTTAACTCATTTAGGCTCCTAAGCCCTCATTATGCATAGTGTATATTTGGAGGTTCTACAACAAGCGACCCAAATAACCCTAAACCCTAAACCCTAAACCCTAGAACTCAGCCAGAAGCAAGTCAAGTTTCTTCGGATCTGGCAGACGACGGCGCAGTGCTTGAGGAAGGCTTCTGAAGCTCGAGCAGCTGGTTGCGGCGGGGCGGCATCCGGCTGCTTTCTTTGTGGAAAACCCTAAACCCTAAACCCTAAACCCTAAACCCTAAACCCTAAACCCGGGTTTAGGGTTCAGGGTTTAGGGTTTAGGGTGTAGCGTTTGTTGTTTAGGGTTTAGGTTTGGGGTTTAGGGTTCAGGGTTCAAGGTTCAGGGTTCAGGGTGTAGGGTTTAGGGCTTGATTTGGGGGGCTACATAAACATGCACTTTCTACGGGCGGTTTAGGGTTTAGGGTTTAGGCTTGGGGTTGAGGGCTTAGGGTTGTGGACAAGTCGGGGCCTTCTGACCTACAGAAACTTGGCTGCACTCAGGAGGGTAGCTAAAAATTAAATTTTTAGCTGCCTTTATTAAGAAACCCCATAAACCCAAAAAGGCTAAAGACGTAAAGCTACAGTAAAGCACCACAAAGGAAAAATCAGAGCATACCGGACATGAAGCAGATGGAACAAGCCCCAACAGGCAAGGCAAGCAGCAGCTACCATGATTTCACGATTCATCGCAGGGTTTGAGCCTCTTACTTCTCCAATAACCAAGGAATACAAAAGGTCAAAACCCTAAACCCTAAACCGTGTAACGTTCAACGGTTGGCACAGTAAGCCCTGCAGCACACGTCGGAGACAGGACCTGCCCGCCTCTTTGTTGCCATGCCTCCCCACCAGCCGCATCTTGCACGCATGTGCGTATGTATGCATGTACAAGTGCGTAAGCATGAATGCACCTCATGTATTATAACTGACAGCATATGGGGAGTTTCCGAAAACAGGGGCACCATTTTTTTTTGAAGGGGGGGTGCGTTTAAGGGGATTCGATTCTACTTGGGGTGTAAAGGGGTACCCTTCATTTTGGGAAATGCCCATCTAGAGGGTCTCTGCAAGGGGATTCAATTCGATTCTACTTGGGGTATAATAGGGTACCCCTGTCTTGGGAAATGCCCATCTGATTTTTCACATGCTCCAACCAACTGGCAGCCTGCTTTTTGAGCCCTGCAGGCTCGTGGCACATGAGTGTGTTCGGGTTAAGGGTTAAGGGTTAAGGGTTAAGGGTTAAGGGTTAAGGGTTTAGGGTTTTAGGGTTTTGGGTTTAGGGTTTAGATTGTCCAAGAAGCAGGGAATGGAGTTTGAGCAGAATCATCGGACTCTTGGGGATAGTCTGAGGTGAGATACGGGTGATAGGCATGGAGCAGACCGGGCGAGGAGAAGAGTTTAGTTTACATTCTCACTACCCAACACCCAAGACGACGAACAAACCACTGTGTAACATAAGAAAATAAACACTAGGACTGCGACCGTTGCTTTTGAGATGGCAGCATGACAACTGGCACTGCTTTCTGCAGCTGTCCCAAAACCCGGATTTAGGGTTTAGGGTTTAGAGTTGAGGCTTTAAGGCCTAGAATCTAAGCCCCTAAAACACGAGCACCCAGAGCCCCAAAGCCCTGAACCTTGGCACCCCTATGTCGTCATCATCACCATGAGCGCGGGTTTAGGGTTTAGGGTTTAGGGTTTAGGGTTTAGGGTTTAGGGTTTAGGGGCGCGGCTTAGGGCTCAGGGCATATGGCTTGGGGCTTAGGGTTATGAGTCTTATCTTAGCTGCTCGTAGCACTCTGCAGAAGACTGAGTCTTGAAGATAGGACCAGGCCTAAGCCCTGAAGCCTAAGGGGTTGAGGGCTTAGGGTTTAGGGTTTAGGAGGGTTTAGAGTTCAGGCGGGGGGGGGCGGGGGTCCCTTAAAGGGGATTCATTCTATTTGGGGCATAAACGGGGTACCCCTGTTTCGGGAAATACCAATAGTACTGACATGCAAAGGCCCAAATCCAGAAATGGCAAGAGGGAAGCACTTATCTAGCGAGAAACCCTAAGCCCTAGACGCTAAAACCCCAAGCCCTTAAACCATAAACCCGAAACCATAGACCCTATAGACCCTGAACCCTGAACCCTAGAGCCTAAACCCTAAACCCTAAACCCTACATTTAAACCCAAAACCCTAAACCCTAAACCAACCCCAAATGCTGCGCTCCGGATCTCTGCGGGGCTAAGGACTGAGGGTCTGCACTAGGGTCTGGATGGTTGCATTGGGGGTTGCAGCCTGGTTTAGGGTTTAGGGTTTCGGGTTTAGGGTCAAACCCTAAACCCTAAACCCTAAACCCCAAACCCTAAACCCTAGGATCCTAAAGGCCCCAAACCCTCCATGTTTCATTCTACCCAAGGCAGGAGATTCTCAGAGGGTGCGTTGGTCCTGGGATTTGAAAAGGACTCGCGACGCTCGCATTGGAGCGACCCGAATGGCGGAAACGCGGAGCACATGTGCTGCACGCAGCGCGGACTCTACAAGTCCCTGTATTGTGCCATCCACCTATACCAGCCGAAACCCTAAACCCTAAACCCTCAACCCTAAACCCTAAACCCTAAACCCTAAACCCTAAACCCTCAACCCTAAACCCTATAGCGGCTTTAGTCTGAAGCATGCCTAGAGGTTTAGGGTTTAGGATTTGGGGTTTGGGGTCGAGGGTTCCCTGCCCCAAGCACAAGCAAACAAGTGGCACAACGGCGAAATCTCGTGTCAGACTTTCTATGCGCTACGCGCTCTTCTTCTGTTGCCTCCTCTTCGTGCCCAGTATCCTGGAGTGGATTTGGAGCTCTAAAAAAGATAAACCTCTGCCCTAAGCCCAAAAACCTTAAACCCTAAACCCTAAACCGAGGCCCTTTTTCTAAACCCTAAACCCTCGGGTTTTATAGGAGTCAGGGCCCACATTGAACTTGAAAACAGAACAGGATCAACGCCAGCCCGAGGCCCAGGGAGCCAAAAGCCATAAATCTAGGGTTTCGGGTTTCGGGTTTCGGGTTTGGGCTTCCCAACAAGACGCAGGCCCTTAAAACCTGAAAAACTTAAACAGCTAACAACAAAAACAAACGACAAAAGCCTCAAACCCTGAACACAAAAACAAAAGTCCTAAACTGAAAACTTTAAAACACCTTCAACAACCCAAACAAACCCTATGAGCCGAGAATCTGCAGCAAGCGGACGAGAGTGCGGAGTGTCAAACTTTTCCCGGGACACTCGCGGGGCCCAACACCGCCGACGGAGTTGAAGCCGGCGTGATTTTCCTGGGCTTAGGGGTTTCAGGGGTTTGAGGGGCTTCAGGGGTTTGAGGGGTTTCAGGGGTTTGAGGGGTTTGAGGGGTTTCAGGGGTTTCAGGGGTTTCAGGGGTTTCAGGTTTCGGGGTGGGGATGTTCCCCCTTATACTAACACTCCTTGCGAGGGATTACAGTACCCATTTAGAACTGTTAGTATAAGGGGGAACGGAACATCCCAAGTTTAGGGGTTTGGGTTTTGGGGTTTGGGTTTTTTTGGGGGGGAGGGGGTTAGGGGGCTTCCAGTCGTCTGCTCTTACATTATACTGCAGATCGGCTTGCCCGGTCGTCTGTCAGGGCTTTTGGGGGTTTAGGGTTTAGGGCTCGTTTTTAGGGTTTAGGGGCTTCGGGGTTAGGGGCTTAGGAGTTTTGGTGCTTTTGGGAGCTCGGGGTGTGGACTTAGGGGGACTTGCGGGGGGCGTCTAGCTGGTTCGGTTTGGGGGCTTTGGCAAGTCTTGGGAGTTAGTTGAGGAACCTCATCTTGTAAGGCAACAGAATATGGAAAGCTTGTCTTCTTTACAGTAGCTGCAAGAGGGCGGCTACAGACTCCGTGCACTGAACCCTGTACCCTGAACCTTAAACCCTAGACCCTCAAACCCTAAAACCCTGAAACCCTGAAGCCTGACCCTCATCCAAGTAGCCACTAGGCCGGCCCGTTTGTGGTTGAAGTCCCACCTTGGCAGCCCAGGAACCATCTTACAGCCAGGGTAACCTTTTTAGGGGCTGGCTACGGATATCAAGGGAACCCAGCACCCCAAAAAGGGCAAAAGGGCATCCCTAAACCCTAAACCCTAAACTCTAAACCCTAAACCCCCCTAAACCCCCCTAAACCCCCCTAAACCCCCCTAAACCACCCTAAACCCTAAACCCTAAACCCTAAACCCTAAACCCTAAACCCTAAACCCTAAACCCTAAACCCTAAACCCTAAACCCTAAACCCTAAACCCTAAACCCTAAACCCTAAACCTAAACCAAAAGGGTACCACTTGGGTTTCGGGCCACACGTCCTCTCCCCAAACGGTCGCATCGATGTTGGCGAAGACTAGGGGGATCGCCACCTTGGTTCCTTTTGGGAACTTGTAGGTCTTCCCCGCAATGTCACCTTGGTATGGGGTTTAGGGTTTAGGGTTTAGGGTTTAGGGTTTAGGGTTTGGGGTTTAGGGTTTAGGGTTTGGGGTTTAGGGTTTAGGGTTTAGGGTTTAGGGGGTTTAGGGTTTAAGGCTTGGGGTCCCAGTAGCCAGATAACAATAAAGGTACCCTTTTTGGGGTTGGTTACTGCAGAAGAGAACCTTGAACCCAACAAACAGGGGCAAAAGGGCACCACTGGGCTACCTCGCCCCTAAACTCGAAACCCTAAACCACAAAACCCAAAGCCCTGAACGCCAAGTGCATGCACCCTCCGACAAGTCACAGGAGAAGTCCTCCATAGGGCTTCTGACCTTTTCTGAAACCCTAAGCCCTAAACCCTAAACCCGAAACCCCCGACGAGTCACAGGAGAAGTCCTCCATGGCGACATGGTGGGAGACGGTTACTGGGGGGGAGAGTCGTGCCACTTCGAGGATGTAGTTCAGGACGTCATCCTCATCGTCCAGGTTCCTCAGCTCTAAGAGCTGTGGTGGAATCAGGGTTTAGGGTTTAGGGTTTGGGGTTTGGGGTTTAGGGTTTAGGGTTTAGGGTTTAAGGTTTCGGGTTTAGGGTTGAGACCCCAAACCTTGTGACCTACCCGACGTCCTGAAAAGTCTTCGCCGTAGACCCTCAGAACCACTTCAGGCTTAGGGCTTTGTAAGCGTCTTGACCGAAGATGTTGATGGAGTTGATTCAGGGTTTAGGGTTTTGGGGTGAAGGGGGTTGTAAGACAACAGCAGCATTCAGCCAACCATCGCTCAAAATAGCAAGCCTAATCCTAAACCCTAACCCTGTAAACCCTAAACTAAACCCTAACGCAGCCCCCCCCCCCCAAAAAAAAAAACAAAAAAAAAAAAAAAACAAACACACACACACACACACACACACACACACACACACACACACACACACACACACACACACACACACACACACACACACACACACACACACACACACACACACACACAACACACACACACACACACACACACACACACACACACACACACACACCACACACACACACACACAACACAACACAACACATGTATATATATATATATATGGACTATACCCTCAACCCTACAAGCCGCAGACCTTGCCTAGACCCCGCATTTGAGAGCTGAGCCAGGCTGCAGCGAGTCCCAAACGTCGCGGGCATCGATGCGGAGGTTTCCGTAGATGACCCCGAGGTGCAGAACCTTACTGGCGCTGCCAGCTGGGAACCCTAAACCCTAGGGTTTAGGGTTTAGGGTTTAGGGTTAGGGTCTAAACCCATCTATATGAGGGATCCCACCCTTTGAGCAACGGCACAAAACAGGGCCTCGTGGAGCTAAGGAGCCAAGTCAGCATGCGAGAGCCTTGGACTCCGGCGATCCTCATGATGCTGGTCATGAGCAGGGCAAGCTCTCGGGCGGTCATGTTGTTGTACTCTGGCTTGACCTGCGAGAACGGCCTAAACCCTAAAAACCCTAAACCCTAAACCCTAAACCCGCAACCCTAAACCCTAAACCCTAAACCCGCAACCCTAAACCGAAACCCGAAACCTAAACCGCATACCAGAAGTGGAGCTCTATGAGTCCTAAACCGGGGTACACGTTTTAGTATACGGCTTAGGGCTTAGGGCTTAGAGTTTAGGGGTTAGGGTCAGGGGGGCCCCTACTTGCAGCTGTCCGAGCTGGGTCGGACCCTGAACCCCACAAACGCTGAACCAGTGTTGAGGGGTATCGTCCCCTAGAAGGGACCTTTAATCCTATATGTAACCAGTATATGTACCTTATATAGTCCCTATATACGGAAGTAGCCCCCAAGTGACCTCATATTGCCCTGAGGTCACTCATAAGGGTCCCTACTGTAGTTTCTTGGAGGGTGATATCAAGGCATGTTTTGGCTTATACCAGGGGACTGAGGGCCTCTGGTCCAAACACAATCCCCAATCCTAAGAAAAAAAGAACAAAAGCCTTCCCAAAAGTGGATCTTAAACCCTAAGCCCTGAACCCTAAAACCCTAAACCTGAACCCTAAATCCTAAACCCTAAACCCTAAACCCTGAAACCCTAAACCCTGAACCCTAACCCTAAACCCAAACCCTGAACCCTAAATCGCCGCCAACTGAATCCCGAGACCCTTGACACCCATCGCCAGACAGGCGCAAAACGAAGCCGAGGCTGGGTCTTGGGGCGTATTATGTGGTTTGAGGTTTGAGGTTTAGGGTTTAGGGTTTAGGGTTTTAGGGCTTAGGGCTTAGGGGGTTAAGTGTGTAGGGTTTCGGGGTTGAGGGTTTAGGGGTTTAGCGGTTTGGGAGCTTGGGGGTTTTGGGGTCAAGGTTTGGGGCACCCTTAGCTCCAAGTCAGGATCGTCACAACCCCTGAACCTGAACCCTAGACCTAGACCCTAAACCCTAAACCCTAAACCCTAAACAACCCTAAAGCCTAAAGCCTAAAGCCAAAACCCTAAACCCCAGACCCTACCATGCCTTGAAATCCTTGAACGCCGGCGACTTCTCGTACAGGTCTGCCACCTTCTCGATGTTGCCGTGCATGGATCGCCTCCGACCCAAAATCCTAAACTTTAGGGTTTAGGGCTTAGGGTTTCGGGTTTAGGGCTAGCCCCTAAACCCTAATCCCTGAACCCTAACATCCAACAGTCGCAGTGGGACAATGGCCAGCAGCATCGAAACGCGGTTTTGAATGAGATACTGGCCCATCACAGGCAACCCCCAAGCCGTAACAGAGACAAAGATGGAACCAAACCCTAACCCTAAACCCTAAACCCTACACCCTAAACCCCAAACCCCAAACCCTAAACCCCAAACCCTAAACCCTACCCCCCCCCCCTCCTCAACAAAAAAAAAGGTCAGTGCACTCAAAGGAACAGATGGCCAAGGGGGTAGAGGTAGTGCATCAAGGCTGTCTCCCCAATGTAGAACGAGTTGAGGGTGGCCATCACCTCCTCTTGAAAGTGCCAAGTGCGGGGTTCAGGGTTTAGGGTTTAGGGTTTAGGGCTTAGGGCTTAGGGTTTAGGGTTTAGGGTTTAGGGTTTAGGGTTTAGGGTTTAGGGTTGGGGGTTTAGGGTTTAGGGCTTAGGGTCCCTAATCCTAACTTGGGGGCCCAGTAACAATATTGTAATAAGGGCACATTTTTTTGGGGGTTGGTTACTTTATAAGGGAACCTTGAACCAAAAGAAAAGGGAAAAGGGCACCACTGGGCTACCAATCTATAGACCCTCAGCCCTCAGCCATCAGCCCTAAGCCCGAAACCCTAAACCCCTCAAACCCGAAACCCTAAACCCTAAGCCCTAAACCCTCAGCGCGAAACCCTAAGCGCTCAGCCCGAAACCCTAAGCCTAAGCCCCAGCCAACCAAATAGTTCGTTTGGAATGCAGCGTTTACTCACTAGCATTTTCGGGAAATTAGGGAGCTAGGTAAGCCCCGTGTCCCCCTACGCAAGCCTTAAGGGGTCATAGAAGGTACCCAGTTCCCTGATTCCCCAAATGCCCCAACACCCTAAATCCTCAGGTCTCCCGTGAATTGAGGTTTGGGGTCTGGGGTTCTCAGCCAGTGGACCCTAAGCCCTAAACCCTTTATCTCCTAAACGGGTTCCGTCTTCAACCCAAAGCCCTTACATGAAGTAGTATTGTGAGTATGGTTACACCCTAAACCCTAAACCCTAAACCCTAAACCATAAACCCTAAACACCTTTCAACCCCAAATCATGCCGAAGGTCCTTGTCCCGGATATCCATGCCGAAGAGCCTGGCTATCACAGGGTTTAGGGTTTAGGGTTTGGGGTTTAGGGTTTAGGGTCTAGGGTTTAGGGTTAAGGGTTTAGGGTTCTTTAAGCAGTCATCAAAATGAGAGAGCCCTAAGCTTGGGATGTTTCCCTTATACTAACTGTCCGTTTTTTTCGGGAGGATAGCCGATTATAATCCCTACTGAGGACTGTTAGTCGCAGGGGGAACATCCCAACCCTAAGCCCTGAACCTGAAACCATACTCACTATTTATGAAAGCTGCAGCCCTGAACCCTACCGAGCAAAAGAACCTTAAAAGACCGACGCCCGAAGCCCGAAAGACCCTCAAAAATGCCCTCACGCCCGAAACGTATGGGTTTCCCTACTCCCCTCCCTCTATACTACCTCCTAGGTTCCCCCCATAATTAAGGTTATGTAGGGATAATGAAGCCGAATGAAGGTCATTTCAGGGGGAACCTAGGGGGGTAGTATAGAGGGGGGTAGGGGAACCCATGAAAATACCCTCAACCCTGAACCCTAAACCTAAACCCTAAATCCTGAACCCAACAAAAACCACCCCAAACCTCCCCTGACTGCGACCCAGGAGCACGTGGTGCCCTTAATCTTATTCCCCTATATAAGACCTATATATATATACATATGCCTTCTAGACGCCCTATATACCTTATATAAGCCCTATATACCCAAGCAGCCCCCGAACCTCCCTTGATCTGCGACCCAGGAGCACGTGGTGCAAGTACTTGATCCAGAAGGCCTGGTTTCCGCCTTCCGATCCTTGGGGGTTTAAGTGGGCGTGCAAAACCCTAAACCCCCCTAAACCCTACATAAACTCCCTAAGCTCCCTAAACACCCTAAATCTCCCTAAAGTGCCCAATCTCCCCTACACCCCCTAAACTGCCCTAAACTCCCCAAAACTCCGTAAACTCCCCTGAACTCCCTAACCTCCCTAACCCTAAACCCTAAACCCTAAACCCTAAACCCTAAACTCCCTAAACTTCCAAGGGTCCATCGTAGAAGTCGAAGCCGCTGTCAATCTTGAGGAAGTCTTCGGCGCACTCCCTCATGAGCTGCGCGGAGATCTCATCTGTCCTCGGGTTTAAGGTTTAGGGTTTAGGGTTTAGGGTTTAGGGGTGATTCTTGGGAGGTTTAGGTCTACCCTCAACCCCAAAGCCTCCGCCCACTTTAGGGGCTTAAGCAAAGTCTCACGATTCCCCCTAAGCCCTAAACCCTAAACCCTCAACCCCAAACCCTAACGCAAGGCACGCTTCCAAAATTCCCCGGGGGGCCCTCCAGGTGGCCCCAAATCCGAAACCCGAAACCCGAACTTAGACCCTAAACCTCGGATTTAGGGTTTAGGGTTTAGGGTTTAGGGGAATTTAGGGTCAGGGTTTAGGGTTTAGGGTTTAGGGTTTAGGGTTTAGGGTTTAGGGTTTAGGGTTTAGGGTTTAGGGTTTAGGGTTTAGGGTTTAGGGTTTAGGGTTTAGGGTTTAGGGTTTAGGGAAACGAGAACCAAGCAGACCATCAGTTTCTAGGGCGAAAAACTTTGAAACATAACCCTAAACCCTAAACCCTAAACCCTAAACCCTAAACCCTGAACCTCAAAGAAGCCCTACACCCTAAGCCCGTAGCCAAGGGTCCAAGGTGAAGTTCACATGCGTGTGGGTTTAGGGGTGAGGGTTGAGGGTTATGATGCTGACCTGTCCCTATAGAAGACTATAAAGGGGGGCATAAGCTTAAGCTTGCTCTATGTGTATATATGCATGGATGTGCACAAATATATATATATATATATATATGTATATGTATAGATGTATGTATATATACATATGTCTATATATATACACAAGTAAGTAGTTTATGAATAGGCCCAAGAGTAACTTGAAGAATGACAAGGGCCCCCTCGGGTTAAAATAAAGGTGCTTTCTAGGGAACCCGAACCCTAAACAAAAGGTAATTTAGGGTTTAGGGTTTAGGGTTTACGGTCCTAGGTGTGTATATACATATATGTTTTAGTCATAACATTTAAAATTGCACGTCGTGTTTTAAGCTCCTCTTGGTAGCCCAGTAGCCATATTTTAGTCAGGGTAGCCTTCTGGGGGTTGGCTACTCGAAAAGGGAACCTTGAACCAAAAAAAGCAAAAAAGGGTACCACAGGGCTACCATGTCCTGCACGAAAATCTTCTGAAAAAGATAACCCTAAACCCTACACCCGAAACCCCAAACCCTAAACCCTCGGGTACTGAATGATCCAAGTGACTCCCTGGCTACTGAGGCTGGGCCCAGCAGGGTGTCGATGACGCACTTTCGGAAGTTCTCGTGGTCTCCGGTGCCCCCGACTGCCTTGCCTTAGGCAGCGCAGTAGCCGTTTTGGGGTTTTGGGCGTAGAGATTTAGGCTTTGGGTATAAGGTAGAAAAGGGCATAGGGGTACAAGGGGGTACCCCTAAACCCTGAACCCTAAACCCTACACCCTACACCCTAAACCCTTAACCCTAACCGGGTTTAGTAGGGCTTCCTTCCAATCCGAGGCACTGGAGAGGGCCAGCAAAAAGACGCAACGACCGGACTCCCCATGCGGCAACGAACTCGGAAGCAACGGGTGCTCTCCCAACCAGTGGGTCCTTGCCTGTGGATTCTGCACGGCCTTCAAGGCTTTGAAGTAGGGATTCATGGGGTTTGGGGGTTAAGGGGCTTAGGGTTAAGGGTTTTGGGGATTTAGACCAAGGTAACCCTCAACCCAAAACCCTAAACCCAGAAACCCTAAACCCTAAACCCTAAACCCCCAGGCCTTCTTGACATCGGCATGGCTTCCCAGCCACACTTCCCCTGAAGCGCAGAAATTCTGGCCGTACTGTCGGTACGTGACCATGCCTTAGTTGCTGAGTTCATAAGTTTCAGAAGCCCCCAAAAAATGAAGACTTTCGGTTCTACAGGGGATTCTGGTATCCAAAAAAGTGCAATGATAAAGGGTACTTATTCAGCTACGAAGATGCAATTGTTGGTGTTGCCGGCTCCGATGCTATCCACGATCTCCACAAGCGGCAAAAGAAGCCTTGATAGCTACTTTATAAGCGAACCCAGAACCCAAGAAAAGGGTAAAGGGTACTACTGGGCTGGCAAGAAGCCGAGAAATAGGGTTCCATGGTCGCTGCAGTGCCCATAGCTGGAAGTCATTCTTGTGGTGCAGAAGAATGATCCTTGGTAGCCCAGCAACCATCTCAAGATAAGGGTACCTTTTGTTGGGGGGCTGGTTCCTGTTTAAGGGAACCTTGAACCCCCTCCCAAAAAAAAAGGCAAAAGGGTACCCTAAACCCTAGACCCTAGACTCTAGACCCTAGACCAAACCCAAAACCCTAAACCCTAAACCCTAAGCCCTAAACCCTAAACCCCAAACCCTAAACCCTAAACCACCCCCCCCACCCGCCCAAAGCAAGCGTCGCTTCTACGAGAAGGTAGAGGACAATGAGGCCACCGATGCCCGCGGACACGGGCCAAAGGCCCTGGAGGATGAATATGGCAATGGCCGCGATGAGTGCTGGTACTACCACCAGCCTAAGAGGGTTCATAGGGTTTAGGGTTTAGGGTTTAGGGTTTAGGGTTTAGGGTTTAGGGTTTCAGGTTTAGGGTTTAGGGCTTAGGGGTTTAGGGTGGTTTAAGGGCTTAGGGGCTCTAGGGGTTTAGGATGGTTTACAAAAGAGGCAAAAAGCTCCGGATTCCGCCCTGCCAGAAAATCGAAATTCTTGCGCTCTGCCAGAAAAACAGGCAGCATTTCCCCCTTACCCTAAAAGATCCCGCACAAAAAGTAAAAACTAGATTCCGGCAAAAAACGTTTCGGACAAAACGTTCGCCCAAAACTATCGCTCAGTTTTTTCGCTCAAAAACTTTTTTGGACCCAAGCCCTATGCATTTTCCATAAACCCTAAACCCTAAATCCTAAACCCTACACCCTAACCCCTAAACCTTGAACCCTAGGGTTAAGGGTTCATGGGTACAACAGGGATCGGGGCCCAATAGACCCGTAAAATGGAATTTCCTAAACCGTAAACCCTAAACCCGAAACCCTAAAGCCTAAATCAATTTCCGAATCAGCTCCAGCAGCCACAGCACGTGCCATGAGACCAACTCACCTTTGGCAGATGGGAGTCCGAGTTAGGGTTTAGGGTTTAGGGTTTAGGGTTTAGGGTTTAGGGTTTAGGGTTCAGGGTTCAGGGTTCAGGGTTTAGGGTTTGGGGTTTAGGGTGTAGGGTTTAGGGTTCAGGGACTAGCGCTTAACCTTCCCAAAACTTCTTAGGGTATAAAACAGCCCTGCGCCCCAAAACCCTGAACAAATGAGAAATAGCCAGGATGACAGATTCTTGGAAGGATGCTGTCTCAGACCTGCACAGACCCTACTCTTTATCCTGAAGTTTGCTGGTGCTGATAGGTTTCGGGCTTCAGGGGGGTAGATCTCTATGTGAGCCCCCCCCCCCCCCCCCCAAAAAAAAAAAAAAAAAAGGCAAGCACAAAACCCTAAACCCTGAACCCTGAACCCTAAACCCTAATTGAACCCTAAACCCTAAACCCTAAGCCCCAAGCCCTAAACCCTAAACCCTAAACCCTAAAGCCTAAACCCTAAACCCTAAACCCTACATCAGGGCAAAGCCGCCTCCCACAGTCGGCGTCGATTGAGATGCGCCAGGTGGGAGAAGCCCTTGTGTCTCTGAAGACTCCTTCTGTCTGAGTTTAGGGTTTAGGGTTTAGGGTTTAGGGTTTAGGGTTTAGGGTTTAGGGTTTAGGGTTTAGGGTTTGGGGTTTAGGGTTTAGGGTTGAGGGTTGAGGGTTTAGGGTTTCGGGTTTCGGGTTTCGGGGCTTAGGGTCTAGAGGCTTAGGAGTTCGATTCCACTTGTTCAAGGCCGTGAGCTGCATAGCCTCCCCGAAAGCCTCCGATTCTTTCACTTATGCCAAAAAAACTCGCGCTTGTGGCTTAGTAGTTTGGGCTCAGGGCTGGAGTCTCACGAACTTGCAACCTAAACCCTAAACCCTAAACCCTAAACCCTAAACCCTAAACCCTACACCCTAAACCCTATCAGGCCTTCCACTTGAGAGGAAAGGGCTTCGAACCTGCTTGAAAGTGTGGGTCCAAGCAAAGGGGCTTGTCGGTTGCAGGGCTTAAGGTTTGGGGTTTTGGGTTTAGGGCTAGGCTTTCGGGTTTCGGGTTTCGGGTTTTAGGGTTTGGGGTTTAGGGCTTAGGGTTTAGGGCTTAGGGCCTAGTGCTTAGGCCTAAGGGGAGGCCGCTCAGACTCAAGCTCCAGGATCCTTAGCTAGGTTGGTTTCTGAGATTCTTAGGGTTTAGGGTTTAGGGTTTAGGGTTTAGGGTATTCCCCAACAAATACTCTTAAAGCCTCAACCCCTAACCCTAAACCCAAAGAAGGTCAAATGAGATGTCCCGAAACCTAAACCCTAAACCTAAGACCCTAAAACCAACACGCTAAACTCTAAACCCGAAACCCTAAGACACCTACACCCTAAGACGCTCGAGTGCTGGGATTTCGCGAGCTCCTGTTCCACCATGGCTGCCGCGTTGGTAGTTCGGACGGCAAGGCCAGCAAGAAACAACCACGAATCCCTAAACCCTAAACCCTAAACCCTAGACCCTAAACCATTGAAGCAACTTTGCCAAAAAGACAGCAGTACTTGCCTTCAATCTGGCTGCCGCTGAGCCGCCGTGGTAGGAGCAAGATCTGTTCAACCGTTTAGGGTTTAGGGTTTAGGGTTTAGGGTTTAGGGTTTAGGGTTTAGGGTTTAGGGTTTATGGTTCAGAGTTTAGGTGCGTTTGGCTTTGTGAGGGTGTAGGGCTAAGGGATTTGGGCTTCGGGTGTGGGATTGTGTTTCTAAACCCTACACCCAAACCCTCTATACCCTACACCCTGCACCCAAACCCTCAACCCAAATGCACCTTTAGGCCCTCCTCCGCCCCAACAGCCCGAGCAGCAAACCAAGATCAATCGCAAGCACCCTGGTTTGGGTCCCTTGTTATTACTTACACTAAACATGAGCAGCCTCAGCCGTGGCGGGTTTATGGTTTCGGGTTTAGGGTATTCCCTGCCCCCCCCCCCACCCCCCCACCCATCCCATTCGAATTCTAAATCTTCAGCTCCTGAATCCCTAAAACCTTAGCCCAGCATCTAAGGGTGTAGGGCTCAGGGTTGAGTGATTGTAAACGGTGCGGCTGGTGACTGTCGTCGCGCTCATCAATTCAGAAACTGTACATCCCTGAACCCTAAACCGTAAACCGTAAACCCTAAACCCTAATGAAGCCTAAACCCTAAACCCTGAACCCTGAACCCTGAACCCTGAACCCTGAACCCTGAACCCTGAACCCTGAACCCTGAACCCTGAACCCTGAACCCTAAACCCTAACCCGTGCGGCAGCAATCCACTGCCCGAAGCAGGTTTTAGTGATTAGGGTTTAGGGCTCAGAACACAGCAGATGCATTTTGTTGCGCACGGATGCCCACGGCGAAGGTTGGGTGACGACACACTACTATCGCCCCCAAAGAACTCGGATCACTGTCCCTAACCCTTAACCCTAGCTTTAGGGTTTAGGGTTAGGGTTTTAACCCTAAACCCTAAATCTTCAACCCTAAACCCAAACCACTAAACCTCTCTAGAGTTCAGGGGCTTAGGTCAAGCCAGCCCTTACCATTTCATCTATAGGTACCTCTTGGGTGCTGGTTGCCTTTTATACAGGAGCCCATGTTAGGGTTTATGGTTTAGGGGCTTTGGGATTGCACTCGGCTCCAAGCCTACAGCCAACCAAGAGAGGGCACCACCGGACATCTTTTGGGGGCTTGAGGGACTTTAACATTTAGGTTTAGGGTTTAGGGTTTAGGGTTTAGGGTTTAGGGTTAATGGTTCAGGGGTTTAGGGGTTTAAGGGTTTAAGGGTTCAGGGCTTAGGGCCCTAAACCCCAAGCACTAAGACCAACACCTAAACCCAAGGAGTGTGTTAAAAGGCATTCAGCTCCCTTCACGACGCTCACACGTCGGGGCACTCACCAAGCATGGTGTAGCCGACCTCCTGGAGTTGCTCTTTCTCCTAAACCCCAAACCCCCCTAGCCCTAAACCCTAAACCCTAAACCCTAAACCCTAAACCCTATACCCTAAACCCTAAACCCTAAACCTCAAACCCTAAACCCCAAAACCCAAAACCCTGAACCCCAAAGCCTGAATCCTAAGAGGGGCTACGGGGACCGATCTGGGAAGAGGGGTTGCTCAGGTTCGTGCTCCTTGACTCCAACCCCTCAGGGATATGAAGTAGGGTTGATATTTCTTGTACCCCCGAAAGGACACCAGGTATATACACTCACCAATATTAAAAAGGAACCTTATATACACTCACCAATAACAGTAATATATGCCCTGCTTCATATAAGGAGGGACTCTGAAACTTCTACATGCCTTATATAGTCCCTACATACTTAAGCAGCCCCTAAACCCTAGACCCCCAACCCCTCAAACCCTAAACGCTAAACACTCAAGCCTAAAGCCTATCGCCTAAAGCCTAAACCCTCAAACCCAGCTTAGAACCTAAACCCTAAACCCCAGAGTCTCTCCTTGAGTGCCTTGAAACCTGTTCATGCCAGGAGCTCAACCTCTGTGCTTGAATCCGCCTTCACACCTCGTTCTTCATACCAGTGCTTCGCTTCTGGGTTTAGGGTTTAGGGTTTAGGGTTTAGGGTTGAGGGTTTAGGGTTGAGGGTTTGAAGTTCAGGGTTTGAAGCTTAGGGTTTAGGGTTCAGTTGTGCGAGATAACAGTTGCAAGGCTCTTGCCCATACACTCACCGAGGAGAAAAGGCAAAAGGCTCCCGAAAGTCTCAAATGACTATTTCTCGGACATAGGGTTTAGGGTGATGCCCCCCCCCCCCCCCCCCAAAGCTCTAAAATCCTTATGGTCGGAACCCACGAAATGGGTTTAGGGCTAGGGTTAAGGGTTTAGGGCACACTCTCAAACCCTAAACCCTAAACCCTAAACCCTAAACCCTAATTAAACCCTAAACCCTAAACCCTGGGGAGCTCCAAATCTACACAGCAGAGAGACACAGCCCTGTCGTAGAAACAACAGCCGTGCCTCATTCTGCTCCCTCAGGCAGCCGCGCCTTTTGGCCAGCGACCCGAATACCCCTGAATGAAGTAAACCCTAAACCCTAAACCCTAAACCCTAAACCCTAAACCCTAAACCCTAAACCCTAAACCCTAAACCCTAAACCCTAAACCCTAAACCCTAAACCCTAAACCCACTTTGAAATGTTTGGGCTGTAGGCCTGCGGGCTGATGTTTCCAGCAAGCAACAGTGCAACTGCGTCTTGAGGGGATCTCCGGAAGCCCTCAACGTTTCATGGGGAGCTCTTGTGAAGCTCAGGGTGTAGGGTTTAGGGTTTAGGGTTTAGGGTTTAGGGTTTAGGGTTTAGGGTTTAGGGTTTAGGGTTTAGGGCTAGGGTTTAGGGAAAATAGCTCCTTTCGTTGTGTGAGAAGGAAATGTGGGATTGTTAAAAACACGTAAGGAGGCCTTTCTAAGCTTCTTGCGTGGCAGCATCAAAACGATAACGGGAACGTACCTCAAGATCTTCTTATTGCGTGGCTCAGCGTCCGTGAGTTTCTTCAGGGTTTAAGTCTAAGGGGTCCCGTCATCATTTTTAACAGAACGGAAAACCCAAACCCCCCCCCCCCCCCCCCCCCCCCCCCCCCCCCCCGCGGCCGGCCCTGCCCCAACCTAAACCCTAAACCCTAAACCCTAAACCCTAAAGCCCTTAAAAGTTTAGGGTTTTCGGGTGAACCCTTAGTCTTCTACTCCAAGCCCTAAGCCATTAACCTCTACGCTGTCTAGAAGACCCCAAACCCTCAACCCCAAGTCTCTAGGCATCCCCAAATCCTAAAGCCCCCCTAGAAAACGACCTTACTTGAAACCCTAAACCCTAAACCCTAAGCCCTAAGCCCTAAGCCCTAAACCCTAAACCCTAAACCCTAAACCCTAAACCCTAAACCCTAAACCCTAAACCCTAAACCCTACAGGCCCTTAATTGTGTCACGCCTGGCACAGTATGCGGCGTCGCAAAGCGCCGGTCCAGCAGGCCCTTTGGAGAATAGGCACCTCACCTCTGGTTTAAGGTTTAGGGTTTAGGTTTTAGGGTTTAGGATTTAGGGTTTGGGGTTAGTAAGGTGGGTTCTGGGGATTATAATAGGGTTTCTAGGGGATAGTAGGTAGACTTACCAGGGTAAAAAGAGCTTCTAAGTGCTGTACTCCAGGCCGTACAGGGAAGGCCCTCTTCCTGCTTGAACGTGTTGGTTCGGGCACTTGGAGCCTAAGTGATAGCTCCTTTATACCCCCCGTCTCCAGTTGAACCAAATAATCTAAAACTCCTTATTCCTCTTCCAAACAAACAAACCTCCACTTTTCGTCCAAGTAGGGTATGCAGCTTGGGATGTTCACCCTTGTACTAACAGTCCTTAATAGGGATTATAGCAGCCCTATGAAAACCCCTATCAAGGACTGCGGTGAACATCCCAGTATGCGGCCCTCAACCCTAATGAACCCAATCGACCCGAGAGTCAGCGGTTGGTGTCAACATGTCCGGGGTTCAACACCCCCTGAACGCCTAAACCCCTGAACCCCTAAGCCCGAAGGCCTAAGCCCTACAAGACCTAGGCCCGAAGCCCTAGGGCCTTTAAGCCCTAAGCCCTATAAACCCTATAAGCCCTGCGCCCCACGCGCTAAGCCTTAAACCCTGAACCTTAAACCCTAAACCTTAAACCCTAAACCCTAAACTTCAAGCCCCAAGCCCGAAGGCCCTACGCCCCAGCCCCTAAGGCCCTAAGCCGAGCGGCGGCAGCTTGCAGCCGCAGGCTCTGCCTGATGATGCGGATGGAAAGATCGTGTGGGTTGGTTGGGGGTTTAGGGTTTAGGGTTTGGCTGGGGGGTTTAAGATGCCTGAATTCGGGTTTAGGAAAAGGCTATCAAAGGCTGAAGAGCCTGCTGCTAAGCCCATTGCGCTCGACATGGTCAATCGTAGTCTAGCACCTAAACCGTAAACCCGAAACCTCTAAACCCTGAACCCCTAAGCCCTAAACTTTAATTGTTCAACCCAAACCCCAACATCCCAACCCTCGCTTATTTTGAGGCACGCAGCACGAGCCCGACGTCGACCACGGCAGGTTCAGGACCCGACCTTGGGCAAAGAAACGCTTAGGGTTTAGGGTTTAGGGTTTAGAATTTAGGGTTCAGGGTTGAGGGTTTAGGGATACTGTAATCACGAAGCGGTTGGATGATTAGAGCCGGGATTCCCTTCAGAAACCCTTTTGGGGTATGGGGATAAGGATGTTCCAAGGTTTTGGAGTTTACTGTAGAGGCATCCTGATGTAGAACCCCATGGATAAATGTGCCTGGGGAGCATTCTTCGAAATCTGGATGACTTCCCGACCCCATAGTGGTTGGGGGTTAAGAGGGGTGTACTCACGCCAGCCGCCCTTTGGGTGAGAGGGGGCGGGGGGGGGGGGGGGGGGGGGGGGGGGCTTGAACGACAAACCCATGTCCGTATTGGCGGGAGGCAACCCTGAACCCTAAACCCTAAACCCTAAACCCTCCCTGAAATCAGAGTGGGGTGCTCCCTGCAAGAACAAGTGACATGAGGTGCTGGATGTCATCCTCTTTCGACTCCTGCAGCGGTTCTTTGAGTTCAGGGTTTAGGGTTTAGGGTTCAGGGTTTAGGGTTTAGGGTTTAGGGTGTAGGGTTTAGGAGTTTTAAGCCTAACCTCCTTACCCCGCAAAAAAAAAAAGGAACGGAATTCTCGAGCCGCCGCTCGCTTCTTCATCTCACATCCTCTGGTTTCACGGGTTCCCCTACTACCCCCCCCCTCTACACTACCCCCCCCTAGGTTCCCCCATAATTAAGGCTATCTAGGGATAATTAAGCCTAATTAAGGTTATTTAAGGGGGAGCCTAGGCCGGGGGGGGGGGGGTAAGGTGGTAGTAAGACGGGGGGTAGTAGCGGGAACCCATGATGGTTCCTGCTGAAGAACATAAGCTCCGTACCCTTACGTGCTCCAATAGCCAGGGAACATGATTTTATTTTTGCTACAAAAATAGGGAAGCCCAACAATTGTAGCATTCAATTGCTGGCAAAGTTCGCTCAATTCTAGGCTAAGGGTGGGATGTTTGGATGGGGTGCAGGGACTAGGGATCAGCTTTCTTCTCCAAGAACAAAGGAATAACAAGGCTCAACTTAAACAGTTCCTACAAAACAAGGAAACCCCAAAAGTTTAAAGTTCATCTGTTGCCCAAAAAGTCAGGGTTGAGGATGTAGGGCTCGGGGTTATGGCTTACTTGGAAGCCCACGAACCACAAACTAGGGTTTCTACGGTTTAGGGTTTAGGGTTTAGCTTTTTATTGGATTGGCTACTTGATACAGGAACCTCGACCCCAAGAAAGTGAAAGGGGTACCACTGGGCAACCAAGTGACCAAGAGATTCAGAATTCTCCAAAAATGTGGTTTCGTCTGGGGTCCTTATGACGCGGCCCCCTCAGAGTTTAGGTACTCAAAAACTAATTTAGAGAACTTCCAAATTCAGGTCCTTGAAGAGGTCTGCCAAGGACAGGCTCTGGTAGTTGGGGAACTCCGACTCGAGTTGCTCGCAGGCCTTCGCGGAGACCTGCGGATCGAGAGCCACGCCACGCTGCTTTCATTGCATCCCCAAGAATCTAGAGGTTCTACCTTTGGATCTCTAAGGGAATATAAGGGCCAATACTAGGAGTATGCTAAGGGGAACCTTTAGGGGTACAACCTTAGGGGTAGGAGTCTGAATCCCTTGCAAGGCACGCGTGTGTTGCCTCCATACAGGTGGGGCAGAGCTCGGGCATTAGCACCGAAGCGCCCATCATGCACACAAGTACTGTGCCCATGCCAGGTGACGCGTATGACTGGGCATTGCAGGGGTCCCTGGGTGTCGTGAACTGACACCATCGCCGGGCAGTTCCTGCAGAAGTGGGTCTGTCATGCTGACAGGCTCGAAGCGTCCCAGCGTACCATTCGCCGGACCGCGCCTTGCGTCGCCTGTGGTTGAAACTGGGGCCAGGGTTTAGGATTGAGGGTTAAGGGTTTGGGGTTTGGGGTTTAGGGAAAGGGCTTCTCCAAGAGCATACCCTGACGAAGTCTCCCTGATCCTCTGCATACCTATGAATACCCATGAAACGTTCATGTAGGGGCGAGGTTGCGGAGGTCTAATTAGGCTCCAGGGCGATGAGATCAAGGATTGGGATTCTTGGTTCAGGGGTTGGGCCTTGCGCTAAACCTTAAACCCTAAAGTTTGGGGTTTGAGGTTTGGGTTTTGAAGGCTCCTGTCGGGAGATACACTTTGAGGGCCCAACAAGCCTGAACCCGCATCAACCTAAACGCCCGAAGCCCGAAGCCCTAAACACTGAATTCACTAAATATCCTTGTAAAGACAGAAAATCACGCAACCGCAACTTGTCCTGAAGCCTGTAAACCCAAAACCGCTAACCCCAAATCCTTAATCCTAAGCCAAAACCCTTAACCCTAAAGCTCCTGAAGCCTCTAACCTAAACCCCGAATCCAAAACCCAAAACCCTAAAACCTAAACCCATAGACCCTACACCCTAAAGTTCCAAGCCACAACAGACCTAAGGACCCACTGCCTCAAGCCCCCAACTCTCTGAATCCCCAAAAGCTGAGTTTAGGGTTTAGGGTTTAGGGTTTAGGGTTTAGGGTTTAGGGTTTAGGGTTTAGGGTTTAGGGTTTAGGGTTTAGGGTTTAGGGTTTAGGGTTTAGGGTTTAGGGTTGAGCCTTCCCCCCGCCGCCAAATGTTCCTAAAATGCCTGCAAGCCTGTAAGCCCCTAAACCCTAAATCCTAAACCCTAAACCCTAAACCCTAAACCCTAAACCCTAAACCCTAAACCCTAAACCCTAACAAGCCTGTAACAGCCTATAAGCCCAAAGCCGAAGACGAAAAGATGAGGAGGGCCTCCTCCAGAGCCTTGTAATCTCCCACAACCTCGCGGAGGGCGCCCTAGACCCTAAACTCCAAACCCTAAACCCTGAACCCTAAACCCTAAACCCTAACCCTAAACCCTAAACCCTAGCATACTTTCAGCTCGAGGCCCCTGATTCCTAAGCTCAAAACTCACAAGCCCATGAAGCAGCCCTCAGAACCTTCAGGGATTTAGGGTTTAGGGTTGAGTTTAGGGTTTAGGGTCGGGTTTAGGACCGCATAGAAAAGTGCACCTAGCTCTCCCAGGACCAGGTCGGAAAACAAAACTGGTTGAGCTTCTGCAACTCACTAGACCCAAGAGTTACCTAGAACCCAATTTAGGGTTTAGGGTGACCCAAGAATACTCTAGGAATAAAAAGGGTGCCCTTTTGGTTTAAAGGGGCTTAGTAGGGAATCCTAAAACCCTAAAAAAGGGAATAAGCGCCCACTCTGGGTCCCAGCTAAGAAGAAGAAATACAGGAGCCAAACCATTGTATGCTCAAGAGTGTTCAACCAGCAGGCAAATCGGGAAATAAGTGGGCCTATGTTCATATATCACCTCAAGCAACTATCTGTTCCCTACGATTATGAAGTGCGACTTGAATTATCATAGTGTAATTACAGTGTAACTTGTCACCTAGAAACCGATATATTTGAAACTCGATCATCATTCGGAAGCCTCCCCCGCAACATCCTCTTGTGCCTCTGCGCGGGAGAGATTGTACCAGCCATTGGCGTAGCAGTACAGGTCATCCTCCGCTGAGAATTCAAGCCCCGAACTGCTGCGACGGCCTCCAAAGCACCCTGACTACCGACAACAAACACACACAGCCTTCAAGCTTGTCACCGCAGAATGCCTGAACCCTAAGCCCTAAACCCTCAAAGCAGCCCCCTAAACTCTAAAGCCCCAAAGCAGCCCTACAACCTCGAAAGCATCCCCATATGAGATGGCTTGGGATGCTCTGAGGGTGTAGGGTTTAGGGTTTAGGGTTTAGGGTTTAAGAGTAACCTAGGCATAAAAGATACTGCTAGCAAAAGGGTGAGAAGGCTGAAGCAGTCCAGAGCTACAAGTGATTCTATTTGATGGCGTGGGCGCACATACACGTTAAGCCCCCCCAATTCTCATACGGCCCAAACCTTACACACACTGAACCCTGACAAAACCCTCAGCCCCAAACCTGAAACAGCCTAAACGCTAAACGCTAAACCCTTTTTAGCCTAAACCCTACACCCTAAACCTCAAACCCTGAACCCCAAAACACCAAACCCTAGACCCTACACCCTAAACCCCAAACCCTTAACCCCAAACCCCTAAACCCCAAACCCTAAACCCCAAACCCTAAACCCCAAACCCGAAACCCCAAATCCTAAACCCCAAACCCTAAACCCTAAACCCTAAACCCCAAACCCTAAACCCCAAACCCTAAACCCTAAACTCTAAACCCTAAACCCAGAGCTGCTCAGGCAGACTGTCGGACCCTCTTAGACATCCTGAGCACCTGGGGCTTTCGGGAGTTTAGGGTTTAGGGTTTAGGGTTTAGGGTTTAGGGTTTAGGGTTTAGGGTTTAGGGTTTTGGGGTTTGGGGTTTAGGGTTTAGGGTTTAGGGTTTGGGGTTTGGGTTCTTTTAAGCTTCAGGGGTTTAGGGAGTTTAGGGAGTTTAGGGGGTTTTAGGGGGGTTTAGGGGGTTTTAGGGGGTTTTGGGGGGTTTAGGGAGTTGAGGGAGTTTAGGGTGTATGAGGCTTGGGGTTTTGGGTTCAGGGTTTGGGGTTGAGAGCTTAGGGTTTACAAGGTTTGGAGTTTAGGTTTGAGGGCCTCAGGATTCAGAAGGTGTGGGGTTTTGCTTTTTGTAAGGTTAGGGCTCAGGGCATGATGGGCTTAGAGGGCTCGTACGGGGCGTTGCGTTATATTGAGGGCCTGTAGGTTTGCAGGCCTTAGAAACCCTACACCCTACACCCTAAACCCTAAACCCTAAACCCTAAACCCTCAACCCTAAACCCTAAACCAAAAAACCCTAAACCCTAAACCATCAGAGGCTTAGGGACTCGAGGGTCTGTGTGCCTGTGGGGGTTTCGGGTTTCTACCATCAGGGTCTGGGGCTTGCTCGGGCGCCCAGAAACCATCTTATGATAAGGGCACCCTTTCTAGGCTGCCCAGTAACCTAGGGTTTAGGGTTTAGGGTTTAGGGTTTAGGGTTTAGGGCTAGGATGGAAAAGGGTGCCCTTTTTTGCTTAAAGGGGTTTGTAAGGGAAGCCTAAACCTACCACAAAGGGAATAAGGGCACGACTGGGCATCCTAGCTTTTTATGGTAGGTTGCATTATAAGGGAACCTTGAACCCCCTCAAAAAAGGGTAAAAGAGTACCACCGGGCTGCCCAGCTTATGTGAAGCTGATTCCTTGGGATTACTTCTCCCTTTCACGAACAGTCCTTATAATAGGGATCATAGTACCTCGTATTCTAATCCCTAAACCCACAACCCCCTAGACCCTAAACCCTAAACCCTAGCTTATATGAAAGCTCAGGGATGGCTACCCTCCTCTGCGTTGTCGAAGTCGCGGATGGAGAGGGTGCGGCCATCTGGAAAGTGTAGCTTCCTTGGGGACCAAATGAACCCTAAAAGGGTTTATGGTTCAACAACTTGAAACGGACTTTTTTGGGATGTTCCTCCTTGTACTAACAGTTAGTTTACTACAGTAACAGTCCTCATTAGGGATGACTGTATGTCGAGACACTACGTTGCAATCACAAACAAATAAAGTCTTGAATGCATCCCAAAACCGAAAACCCTAAACCCTCAACCCTGGGATTTAGGGTTTCGGGTTTATGTAGGGATCAGGACTTAGGGGAGCAGTGCTTGTCCCCAAGCCCTAAACCCTAAACCCTAAACCCCTGTTTCCAAAGAACCCTAAGACAAGTCAACTTTGAAACCAAGGGTCTTTGGATCACGCAGGCTCTTTGAGCTGGACTGGTGCATCAGAACAGTGAAGGGCCGGACGTTCCTTCTTGGGTTTTCGTGTGAGGGTTTAGGGTTTAGGGTTTGGGGTTTGGGGTTTAGGGCTTGGGGCTTGGGGCTTGGGGCTTTGGCTTTGGGCTTGGGGCTTGGGGTTTGGCGTTTGGGGTTTGGGGCTTGGGCCTTGGAGTTTGGGGTTAGGGGGCTTGGGTTTGGGGTAGCCTTAAACCCTGAAGGGGACTTTTCGGGGATTCGGTTTTAGGGTATAGGGTCTAGGGTTCAGGGTGTATACCCTAACCCCTGAACCCTACACCCGAAACCCTATAAGGGTTTAGGGTTTAGGCCGCCTAAGGGGCTCGATAAGATATCCCTAGGCCAGCACGAAGGTAATTGGAGCTCACTGCCGCCTTTGAACCTCAAAAACCGGGTAAAACCAAAAACCAAACCTACAGCCGTAAATCCTAAACCCTAAACCCTAAGTCCTAAACCCTGAACCCTGAACCCTAAACCCTAAACCCTTGTTTGCAAGCCCAGGGAGCTGCTGTCGGCGTGCCACGGCGCAGCCGCTGGCCCAGGGGCCAAGAATTCCATACCTTCTGGTTTAGGTTTAGGGTTTAGGGTTTGGGGTTTAGGGTTTAGGAGTACTTTCAGTCTAAAGCCCTGAAAGCCTCTGAAGGTTTAGGGTTTAGGGTATTCAGGGTTTAGAAATATTCGGGATTTGGGGTGCGTGTGCCGGGTGTTGGAGATGGGCGGGAGGAGGCCGGGGCCGTAGGCGGTGTTTTTGCTGTTTCGGTGTAGGGCAACTTAGTAGTCCCTCTAGCCCTAAACACCCTAAACCCTAACCCTAAACCCTAAACCCTAAACCCTAAACCCTAGACCCTAAACCCTAAACCCTAAACCCTAAACCCCAAGCATAAGCCCTGCCCTGCATCTTGCAGCTTTGTCTACGCCAACCTACCATTTTTA